CTTTTGCAGTTACAAACATGTGACCACCTACTTCTCAGACCATGAAACACTTCTGAATATTTTACAGTAACTGTGAGAGCTATAACAAAGTACCAACCCCTTCTAGCTGGAATTAGGCCCAGATAACAAGAAACTAAGGGAAACACCAATGTGCTGTGCTCCAACAACAGCAGAAATCTCTTACCTGAAATTCTGTCCTGTCACTAAGAAAGAACATACTCCCTGCTTCTGAGGAAGGTAAACAAACAGAAATACCCACCCTCAAACCAGGTATTTATCCCTACTCTTTATCATTATTCATTACTCAAGCAAAACATTCCTCACTCTCATGCAAGCCTGGTGATCAGCTTAGTCCTGAATAAACAAGCAAAACATCATGGATATGATATACGGAAGGTTTTAATTCTACTCAGAGCAACTACCCTGTTTTTCCCCTTCAGCGTCCAGATGTACAGCACATCTGACACAGCAAAGGACAGCCCAAATTACTGAAGTCCTGACCTTCAGTTTTAAAGTTGAAAACTTTGGAATACCACAGAAGATAAAACACAGATTAATGTCCTTTATTTTAAATACTTTTAAATTGATGGCATTTAAGGAATTTTTCACTTTTAAAACCAGTATAAAATCACTTCTGCTTCTACCTCATCAACAGATGAAGTCCTGCAATTCTTACCTAAATAAAGAAACAATCTTCTGGGATTTTACTTGAAATCATTATCTTTTTTACTATAGTATATAGTAAAATATATACTATATATATAATTTTAATTGTATTTGCCTTACACTTGCAGCAACTCACAGCAGATTAAAAAATTGAGAAAAGTCTCTGTTAACTCTCCTAACAAACAGATTGATATAATTTGTTCTATGTATTGAAGCTTACATGTACAATTTATACCCTGAAGGTGATGGGCTGTTGACATACGTGTCTTTGCATTAGTTTCATTAATAGAAACACTTCTGTTGAGTCTTTATGCACTGCTTAGCTGTAGATGTTACATGTGTGTGACAGTTCATATGCAAGATGTTCTGCAGTTCGCTTCAGTTTAGTTGAGCAGGCATTTTGCATCCAAAGGCAAAAGGAAGACGACTTCCATCTATGATTACATGTATGCAATGTGTACAAGTGCCAAAGTTGACTGTGACTGGTGTGTGTCTTGATTCTGTGATGCATTGGTGTAAAGCTATTCTTTATTAAACTAGACAGGTACTCACAATTCTTTGTGGCTGCTGAATGGATGAATGTCAACCTCTACTTCCAAACTCTACTAATACTTCCTGATGCCCTCATGGAAGCCACCACTATGGTTTTGCGCTCTGTGGAATCATACCATGCTGGACTGCGGGATAGTCCATCAGTCAGTGTTGGGGAGCTCATTGCCACTGGGAGCTCAAGTGGCACAAAGCTCACAAACCAGGAAAATTGGGTATCTTTGTAAAGTACCAATTCCAGATGGGTGGCTTCCACAACTTTTTTTGGTGCTGACAACCTATAGCTCACAATTTTTATGTTTGAACAAAATGGAAAGCAACACTTATACTTTGGATTGATAGGAAGCCACTGTCTATGTTCATTCAAGTGTTCGTACAGAGGCAATGACTATGATAGACAGTAAATGAAAATGTAATGTAAACATATAACTTGTTATCTGAAAGTTAAATGTGCTATCATTGAAAGCAATATTATCAGTATACTTATTATGATGTGATTAGCTGCCAGGTTATTTTACAGTCTTTCACTTATACTAGATTAGATAAAAATTTGTAATAACTTCCTATAAAAGGTGCATTAAACAATAAAATTATATTTAAAGCAGCAGTTCTAAAACATAGAGACATAATTTAATCATCTTAGTCATAGTCTCCATAATCTTTTTTCTTGAAATATTGTAATAAATATATTTTTCCATGGAAGAAGTACAAGAATGGTGAAAGTGCATTGCCTGAAGGACAAGGTATCATTTCACTGTAATGCTTAAAAATAGACCAATTTTATTCTTACTCTTTTAGTCCCACTGATTGCATAAGGATCAACTTTTTTTGATAAACTGTCGTAAAAAGAAGCCTGTGAAACATATACATGGACACGTGAATGCCCTTTTCACCTGCAATATTTATGAATGCAAAGACATAACCCTGAAACAAGAACTATTAAAAAAGTGATGGGATAATCATCCATGCAAAAAATATTCATATACACACTCCATTTCCCTAAGGTAGTGAAAGATCAATCTTTCATTTCCATTTTATTCTTTTATGTTCAGCTCTAGCAAACTCTCTTTTCCAGAGTGAGCTGTTTTTCTGCACTGAACTTCATTGTTTTGAATAACATAACTGATCCCTTCTACCTTTCCTTTTTATAACGGAGCAATTGGGAACTCTTCAGTCAGGAGGCAGAAAAGAGGTACACAGAAAATTAACAGACAAGGACTTTAGCTGTTGTGGGCACTGTACAAATAAAGAATAAAAAAACAGTCCCAGTGCCAAAAATATTTTAAAATTGAGGAAACATCTTACTGTCACACTTAGCAGGATAATCCAAAAGTGACCCTGTATTTAAACTCAAGTATAACAATGATATGTGGCTATAACGACAGAGTTCTACAGTTGAAAAAATGCCAACAAGGTTTAGACTTTGTCAGCAGCAACACTGTGTTTATGCTAACTTTCGGGAAGAACTTTTGCGTGTGACAAATGGTACAAAAGACTGACCACTCT